TAGTGCCACATTTAACAATCGGGATCAGGAGGTGGAGGCTCAGGAGAAGGAGAGAAGGAAGGACATCAGGCATGCCAAGTGCTGGCCGCACTTGCTAACTGCCCGTCAACCGCTTCCCAGGTTTCCCAGACCCGTGACCAAAGTGCCAACTGCTATGTCTGTCCGGAACAGGGCCACTGGGCATGGAACTGCCCTAGCCGGAATAGGCCTGCCCAAGGGCCATGCCACCCTGGCAGGCAAGCTGGCCACCAGGGTGTCCCTTGTCCTATGGCAGATAGCCAAGAGGGAGGGCGCCCACAGGCCGGTGAGCAGCTGCTCATTGAAGATTGGCCCTGCCCGGCCAGCAAAGCGGCAGGACAGCTGCAGCGGGTCAGGAACCTTGGGTGAAACCGTGGAAGCTGTTGCACCCAGACCCCTCAGAAGCATACAGACAAGCACCCCTGAGAGCTGTTGGGGGTGTTTCTCTGCCATCCCAGGACAGATAAGGGCTCCACAGAAAACTCTACCTCAGACTCATCACAGTCTCTGAGCCAGTGAATGCTTTTACCCCATTCCTGTGTTTAAAGTGGACTAGCACCCATGCCTGTCAGGCCGACCTAAGATTTCCTTTTAACCTCCCGTGGCACTAGCCAAGGGCACTGCCATCTCACAGCCTTACCCCTGTCTCACTTAACCTGTCCACCTGTTTGTTTCTTCCAGAAGTTCTCAGGGTACCAAGGTCTCTGAACCCAGTGTGCCAGCTTCAGGACCACCAGCTCCTGGACCACCCCATCATCTATCATGGGCCCTGCATGGACAACCCCTTCCAACAGAGTAGGAAGGGTGTGGACCCAAAGCCCCACTCCGTGCCCCTTTTTGCCCGCATGAAGCAGCTAGAGATGTCGTCGTCCAGTAACGCCAAAGGTTTGGGTCCACACCTCTTCAGGGGGGAAATGTTAGGTAGTTAGACCAGGGACCAGGGTGTCCACTGGGCATCAGAGATTTGGGCTCCGAGGCAGGAAGGGGTGGTGCACCTAGGTGGGCGGCACACCTGGATTGGCCCATCTAGGCCAGGTGAGCTTAATTCAGCCAATGGGATCAACCAGTACCATCGACCACGCCTCTCAGTGGGGACCCTGATAAGCCAGAAGCTCTCTCGCACATAGTCTCCCAGCAGCTCCTACAGAGTTCAGCGCAGCCAGGCCTCAGTGCCATGCAGCTGTGCTGCGGCTCCCCCACCCCACCCCTCCTCTGGGTTGTGATCAATTTACTGTACCGCCTGAAACTGCTTCTATCTTTTATAAAAACTCACTGGGATCACACACACAAAAAAACCCAAAACAGCCCAACAACAGTGATAAACCATAATAGAGTAATACCGCCATAGAAAGGAAAACAGAAAACATTAAAATGGATCAAAGAGAGATCAATCGATAAGGTACTAACATTTTAGCACAGCTACCTCTGCCATAATCAAATTTACAATGTTCTCTGTCTGATAGGAAGGCTATTTACATCCCTGGACTATGTTCAGAGGGGATACACTGGAGTAAATGTTTAATCCATGTGGGAATCCTTTAAATAGATTTCCGGCTCCCACTGTCATCCATAGCTGTATGCAAACCAGGTGTTCATAATTTAAGCTCTGATACCATTTCCTCTTTCAGATTTTCATTGTATTAGTTACAATTCTTAGATCACACAGGCTGGTGTGCTTCTACCATTAATTTACTATTTTAATGCTGTCCTTTATTTTTTGTTGCTTTGTTTTATGTTTTTGTAATTAAATACTTTTATTGGGGGCTTCTACACTCTTATCACAATCCATACATCCATCCATTGTATCAAGCACATTTGTACATATGTTGCCATCATCATTCTCAAAACATTTTCTTTCTACTTGAGCCCTTGCTATCAGCTCCTCATTTTCCCCTTCCTCTCTCATGAACCCTTGATAAATTATAGATTATTATTTTCATATCTTGCATTGTCTTCTTCACCCTCGTTTTCTGTCACCCTTCACCCATTTGTCTGTGGTTCATCCCCCTCAGAGGAGGTTATATGTCAATCCTTGAGATAGATTTCCTCTTTCTCCCCCTACTTTTCCCTTATCCTCCTGGTATCTCCTTGCTTTCTTATGAAAAAGTTTTGCTCTATAATCACCCTCCATTGTTTGTGTAAATAATGCCCAGTCACTTAAGAGTTTAAACAAGTCAACAATGTTTGTTTTACAGTCTGAAAAGCCAGCCTAAACATGTATAATTTCCTTTGCTCAACAGTGTTTTAAATTCTACACCCTTAGCTAAATTCATTACATTAATTTATAATGTTCTCTATCATAAAATGATAATTATGTGTCTAAAGTGAACTATAGATATATGAACAGATTTGGGGCTTACACTTAATTATAGCCCTACTTTAAGAACAAATAGTTCTTATGACATAGTCCTACTCGATACTCACCCTCACGAACAGCTTGCTGAAGCTATGCGTGCTAGCAAAGTGTGGTTAAGAAACCAGATGGTGATCAACTATCAGAAAGAATAACGTCTGGGGTCTTAAAAGCTTGTCTTCAAACAACAGCCATCTACCTAAGTGAGATGTCAGCTAAGTCCACAAGCTTTTAAATCTTTATGTGAAATTCGTAATTTGTACCTCTTAATCCCAGTTTAGGTATTTTGCCATTTGAAAATATAGTTATTTGACTTTTTATTATTGAACTGTGAGAGTTCTTTGTATTCTGTATACAAGTCTCAATGCATAATACAATTCCATTTTGTATGATTCCATTGATGTAAACTGTGTAAAATAAGCAAATTTACAGAATTAGAAAAGCAAATTAGAAGTTGCCTAGAGTTAAGAATGGGAGCCCTAGTGAGTGATTTCTAATGAACATGAGACTTCTTTGCAGTGAAGAATATGTTCCAAAATTGATTGTGGTAATACGTGTACAATTCTCTTACTATGCTAAAAAACAGTGAATTGTACATTTTAAATACCAGTAGATGAATTATATGGCATGAGAATTCTTTCTCAATAAGGTTGATATAAATGTACTTTTAAAATTAAACTACTCACAGTTTTTTATTACTCTATCAATAATTCTTCAAAGTCAGTATTTTGAATGTTACCATAATATTTCACGATAACGATATAGCCTATTTTACTATTCCTCTACTGTCAGACATTCAGTGTTGTTTCTACTTTCCTGCTATTATAACAACTTGGTGATGAATAGGTTTGCAGACCTATGATTATTTTCTTACAATATGAATTGCATAAGTGATATCCAGATTAGATTGTATAAAAATTTTTTAATGTTTTGTTCATTTTATCAAGGTACCTTCAGAATATGATCTATGAATTTAAACTTTAGCAGCATATAAAGTACCTGTTTCAACATGTTCTTGCCTACACTAGTCATAACTTGTAAAAATAGAAAAATTCAATAGAAAAAATTGGCAAGGTTATTTTAATTTGTAATTCTTAATACTGACAATCCCATGTGTGTCAGACGATAACTGTGCTACATAGGATTTCCGGTGGCTGATTTTTCAAAAGTAGATTGCCAGACAGAGCTTCAAGGTAACTCTAGGTAGACTCGAACCACCAATCTTATCGTTAGTAGCTGACTGTGTTAACCATTTATATCACCCTGGAGTCAGAATCTACTTGATGGTAATTGTTTTACTGAATTCATTTTCTTAGTACTGAAGTCGGACAATTTGTATGTTTATTCTACATTAAAATGTTTATTTTCCAGCTAGACCAGAGCACACACATGGGTACAGATAAGAGCTGGAAACACAGGGAACCCAGGACAGATAAACCCCTCAGGATCGATATTGAGAGTAGCCATACCAGGAAGGGAAAGGGAAGGTGGGGGGGGGAAGGGGGGAAGTGATCACAATGATCTACATACAACCCCCTCTCTGGCAGATGGACAACAGGAAAATGGGTGAAGGGAGACAATGATCAGTGTAAGACATTAAAAAATAATAATTTATAAATAATCAAGGGTTCATGAGGAGGGAAGGTGGAAGGGGGTGGGGGGGGGAATGAGGAGCTGATACCAAGAACTCAAGTAGAAAGAAAATGTTTTGAGAATGACGATGGCAACAAATGTACAAAGGGCTTGATGCAATGGCTGGATGGATAGAAGAGTTGTAGGAGCCCCCAATACAATGATTTTTTAAATGTTTATTTTTTTCATTGTCTGTTTACATCCTTTGTCAATTTTTTGTTATGCTTTTCTTTCCTATTGATTTGTCAAAGACCTGTGAACTAAGGATGCTAATGCTTATATGTGCTATATGTTTTACAAATGTTTTCCCAAACGTGTCTTCTAATTTGGAAGAAAATATCACCTAGAGTCATTGTATTCATTTTCGTACCAAAATTGTGGTAATAATTTGTTTATATAAAAATTTGAGAAAATTGTATTAATTATAATTTATAAATACATGGATTTTAAATTTTTATCATTCTTTGAAAATATAAAACTTTTCAAAGGGAAATACATATATCTAATAATTTAGACATACACAACTTATTCAACCATTGCAAATATTCTATTTTTTTCTAGTTTGGAACTTTTTTAACATTACTGTAATAATTAATTTCATACATTAAAAAATTCATCATAACTTTATAAATGTCCCTCCCATTCCTCCTTCCTGTGTTCCCAAACACTTTTCCATTATTGCTTGTCTAGGGAAGCAGGGTGGCATCGGATTAGGCGTTGGGCTGCTAACCGTGGTCAGGAGTTTGAACCCACCAGGCGCTTCACAGAGGAAAGCTAGGGCTTGCCGCCTCCAGGCGGCAGGTCTGCTCTGCCCTGTAGGGCACTGTAAGTTGGAATCAGCTTGATGGCAGTGAGCAGTTAGAGAAGCATATCACGAATACATTTTATGGTTCTACGTTCACTTTCTATATTCTGAGAATAAAAGGTTACATGACCAAGTAGAAATTATAAATAACTTCTTTTGTCTGCTGGAAAATCACAGAGTTCTTGAACTTACTGTAAGTGTTGATAAGTACTGTACAAGGTTTCAGATCTGCACAGAAGAAAAGGGTCCTTAGTCAAATGAGTTCAAGGTGCAATGTCCTCTTAGAGATTCACAATACCCATTATTTTTCAGAGTATAATAAAATACACGGAAATTCAAAATCAGACATCACTCTAATTTTGCTTATAATGAAACTAAAACCAAACAAACATAATAACAACCTAAACTCACTGCCATTGAATCAATTTGATGTATAATGACTCTATGGGAGAGGATAGTATTGCTCCTGTGGGTTTTTCAAATGATAAATCTGTTTTTTAATTTATGTTATTTGATTTTTGATTTTTTAATCATTTTATTGGAGACGTATACAACTCTTAACACAATCCATACATACATCAATTGTGTAAAGCACATTTGTACATTTGTTACCCTCATCATTCTCAAAACATTTGCTCTCCACTTAAGCCCCCGGCATCAGCTCCTCATCCCGCCCCCCCACTCTCCCCTCCTTCACGAACCTTTTATAAATTATTATTATTTTGTCATATCTTACACTGTCCGACGTCTCCTTTAATCCACTTTTCTGTTGTCCATCCCCCAGGGAGGGGGCTATATGTAGATCCTTGTAATCGGTTCCCCCTCTCCCCCCCACCCTCCCTCCACCCTGCTGGTACCGCCACTCTCCCCACTGAGATAAATCTTTACTGGAGAAAACCCTCATCTTCTCCCCTTGGAGTGGCTGGTGGTTTTGCTTTGCTGACCTTGAGGTTAGCAGACCAATGGGCAGCCCACTATGCCACTAGGGCTCCTGGTGAGTTCGCTTACACAGAGTTCCCTAAAACAATTTTTTCTTCTTAACATTTGTTAACATCAAAATAGTAGTAGTTCATAGATACTTTATAAAATACTGAAATAAGAAAATGAAAGAGATGGACACTTTGAATAAGCCAACTCTAGATACTAATGCCATGCAAGCTGTCTTAATTTCATTAACGCTTTTAACAAAAAGAAGCTCAATGCTTCCCTTTGTCCAACCTTTGAGTACAAGTGAAGATGCATAGCAAATCACCTAAAGTCAGGGCTTTTTACATTTTTAATGCAGTGCCATAGTAAAAAGACCATACTTTGGAGGTTAGACAGCTGTACGGTGGAAACATATCTGCCCCTTACTATCTGTGTGACCTACGTGGCTTAGCCTCTCTGGACTGCACTTTTCTCCCAATAAATAGAAATTATAACATTTGCCTCACAGAGCTGTTGCAAGGATTAGATGAGATAACATATATCCAGTATATAACAAGGTGGCTGGCACATATATGGTTTTACACAATGTCTATACTGGTATTTATCTGGGGTTATATAAGAAAATGAAGTGACGATTTGAGAACCCACAGACTACTGAATCATCATAGCTTTTTCCATGTGAATGGAATTAGAAGGCTTAGAAGATGAGAGCTTTGCAGCCCACCATATTTCTATTATCAAAATTATCCTTTTAATATGGAATGACATGATAATATCCATGAGTTTTACCAGAAAGAGCATACCACAGAGTATCCCATGTGCAAGAAAACATGTCACTCATTAACAAATTACCGTATATACTTGTGTATAAGCCGAGTTTTCAGCACATTTTTAATGCAGTTTTGTGATAGAATTAGCTGCTTTGGCCAATATTCGGGTCAGCTTATCCTTGAGCATATACGGTAGTAGCATCTTAGGATGTAACCCTGATGGCACAGTGGTTAAAGTGGTTGGCTGCTAACGGAATGGCTCTTTGTGGTAGAAAGATGTGGCAGTCTGTTTCGGTAAAGATTTATGGTCATAGAAACCCAGTGAAACAGTTCTTCTCTGTCCTATAGGATTGTTATGGCTTAGACTCCAAGGAAATGGGTTTGTTTGTGGGGAAGGATCTGGAGAATAGGGAGGGTGCTTTTTACCTGTGAGTGGGTGAAAGTAAGTTATTAACTAACAATGTGGTCAGGTCAAAAGGGGGCGGGGAGGTTTCAAAAATTCTTAGAATAATTTTATTACTTTCCTATTGCACACTCACAGGAACTTTTTGGATGCTCCTCGTATTTATAAGCTATATAATTTCCTTTAGAGACTTGGAGTGCACCAGGACAAAGTTTCCAATTCATTCAAAACTCCAAAGTCATCACTATTGAGTCAGTTCTGACTTATAGTGACCCTATAGGTCAGAGCAGAAGTGCCCTTGTGGGTTTCTGAGACGGTATAGGAGTAGAAAGCCTCATCTTTCTCCCCTGGAGGGGCCGACGCTTTCAAACTGCTGACCTTGAGATTAACAGCCCAACACGTAACCCAATAAGCTATGATGGGATGTTTACCTGTTTCTGGATCATGGGGTCTTTTGGCCCAAATGACATACATGTGAGTTTATAGGGACAATAGGCATCTTTTTTAGTATACTGCACAGGGAAATTATGTGCAGAACTTCGGCAGTAAAAGAATGAAAAAAAAATAACAACAAGTTCACGAGGGAGAGAACTTACTCTTTTTCTAATTCTGCACCCAAGGCTGCATCTCAGCAGTAGAGGTGACACTGTACGTGCCTCTCTTCGAATACTGACCTGTCTGAGAAATTCGAGAACTGTGAAAACTGCTAGGTTTCCGTTTCTACCGTGAGAGATGATGAGCCTTCTGCATACTCTGTAAGGTTGAAAAATGAATGTTATTACATGTGCCTGTCATTTATACAGCAGGATATTAGTTCAGTGGCATATTTTCTTATCGTCCAATCCCTGGATACAACATATAGCTGCAAATTTTAAAGATGAATATGCTTTACCGATACATTTGTAACCATTCCAGACATTCACATTCTCATGGCAGTCAGTCTGATGTACTATGAATAAGATTTTTAAAAATTATCAGCCAAAGCTTCTTGAGCTGTGGGCTGCAACGCCATATGGGGTCATATAACTGAATATGGGGGCTGCAACAGGAAAAGGTTTCTAAACTTGCAATGACTAAAACTTTAAAATCAATCCTGTAACGAGTCTAAGGTGTTTCTGGCAGTGGTTGCCCTGTGACAAATTTCACTTTTCAAATGAAAAAAGTTTAAGAAGCCTTGATATATAATGCAGTCTGGTATTTGACTTAAATAGTTGTGATAACAGCTCAACTTCATCCGCTTTTAATGGAATGTTTCATTTAGCTCTTGCTACTCACAAAATTAGCACATTCCTAGTATTCCCCTGGACACTGAGATAGTTATTATGGTACTCGAGGTGCTGATGTGTTTCTATAAACAAAGAAGGTTCTAGAAAACGTTAGGCTTTGTGATTAACAAGCACCATGATTGGTAGTGCTTTCTTTCTAACACGCAGACTTTGGGGTGAGCAAAGTACATTCTTAATCAGCCTGCTTAATGTAAACATGATTCACTTTCTTCATCCTCCTTGCATAATAATGCACTTGGCGATTAAAAAAACAGGTTGACAGTGTTTGTGAGTGCATACTCCTAGTACACTTTTCTTTAGGGAATCTATGTGTCAAAGTGCTCCCATAGGCGTAAGGGCTGGGTTAGACCTAACCCAGGAACCTGGGAGATTCCATGCCATTGAGTCAGGCAGGCAGATTCCCCCGACAAGGCTGCTTTCTTTGTGGAACCGTGAAAAAGTGAAAGTGGCTCTGAGATCGTGTGTCTGGGCCACCACGGCCTTCTGCCAGGCATACTAATAGTCGCTCTTGTCTGGAGGACTAGTCTGTAGGCTAGTCTTACCCCTAACTCTGAACAGAAAGTAACTAAATTGCCTCAGCTATTTAGTGAAGAAACTACAAAGAATCATTCACTTATATTTGCCGAAACCTCAGAGACAAAAACGAGGCAGCTAAGGGCTTAAATACTCATCTCATTTCACCTATCTAACATTTTTACCAAAAAGGATATTGACAAAGAGTGAAAGGCAATTCTAGTTCTTTAATGCTTTCTCCCCATCACTATCATGACCCCAATTCTACCTTACAAGTCCAGCTAGACCAGAGCATGGTACAAATAAGAGCTGGAAAAACGGGGAATCCAGGACGGATAACCCCCTCAGGACCAATAATGAGAGTAGTGATACCAGGCAGGTAAGGGGAAGGTAGGGGTGAGAAAGGGGGAACCAATCACAATGATCAACATATATCCCCCTCCCAAAGTGACAGACAACAGAAAAGTGGCTGTAGGGATACAGTGATCAGTGTAAGACATGAAAAAATATATTGATTTATAAATTATCAAGGGTTCATGAGGGAGAGAGGGAGAGGGGGGAAATTAGCTGATACCAAGACCTCAAGTAGAAAGAAAATGTTTTGAGAATGATGATGGCAACAAATGTACAAATGTGCTTGACACAATGGATGGATGGATGGATTATGATAAGGGCTGTAAGAAGCCCCAATAAAATGATTTAAATTTTTTAAATAAAAGAAGCATATAGACCTAGATGGAGATTATGTTGAGAAATGCCTTCGAATTTCAGTATTGTTGTTTAATAAATGTGTCTACAATTTTGTAGCAATACTTTTTTACTTACCCTGTCATTATACTAAGGGGATACTTTATGGTCTCACATATAGGCAGGCTGTGACTTACAGCAGTGTGCATTTAAGAATCACCCCAATCATCACATCTACCTTGTTACTACAGTGAAAGGCAGGCATAGTCAGAGGTATCATTCAACTAATGTGGAGGAAATGGATTCCAATTTTGAAAAGAGCAAAAAAACACATTTTAATCACTAATAGTTTGTGCAAGCTACAGGAAAAATTTGAGGAATCAAAGAAACTTATAAAATAAAATACCTGGGTCATTTCCTTAAAATGCTAAAATGTAGCTCCAAGTCTCTCAAAAAAGCATCTTTAAAAAGATGCTTGCTAAAATCTCCTTATAACAATAATCTGAACTATACACTTTTGTGTACCTTATTTAAAAAATCTCATCAGAAAAGTCTATTTAAATACATTGATTTAATAAAAGCATTTCTTTATGTTATGCATTATTGTTCTAAAATATGTGAGAAATTTCATCTAAGTTACTTTATATAGTTCCTGATTATGGTATTACATTTTTCCTAAAAGGATACTGTTTTCCCAATTCATGATGTTTAATCCGCAAAAATCAAACTTACAGCACACTTAATAGCATAAGCACTGCTTGCCAGCGGGAGGGGCAGAGCAGGGAGCTCCCGAGGGGGTGCAAAGGATAAACTCTGGGGCCAGAGCGTGGCACCCCAACGGACGTGACTGGAGGACACGCCTAGAGGTCAAAAATCAGACCTAGATCTATTTACAGGTTTTACTTTCTTTTTTTAATTTCTTCTACTTCCTCTTTAAAAATTTTTTTTAATTTATTCATTTCTTGGTCATTGGTTTTCTTTTTTGTTCTCATCGTTGTGTTCTCTTTTGTCGCTTTGTCTTGCTATGCCTTGTTTTTTGGTGCATATTA